TAACAGTCACAAATAATGAACACATTCAAAGTAAACCCATAAACATGCCAGATTGTAATTGCGTTCTCAATTTTACTCAGACACTTTCATTAACATATACTAGACTGAGGTTCACTATGGTTCACTTGGAGCATTAATACCTATTTTGTGGATGTAAAACCACCATACAAGGGAACACGTCATCGTATGAGATTGATCTGTAAGGCTATTTTTCCCCAAATGAACCAGAAAATTACATAGAAATAGAATTAGATTGAATTGTTCGTGAGTCACTTCCACTCCGTTCTTTCCCCCTCCCCTATTTTCCTATATTGTCCTGCTTCTGTTTTCCTTCTTTGCTTTCCCGTCTATTTACAGAGGGTTTATACATTAATTATTTGCTGGGTTCGAAAATGCTGGCTTAGGCAATCATGCATTGTTTCCTTCCATGCTTCCTGCACCTGTGTGTCATAATGAATTGAATACATCCCCATGCACTTGCCACCTCTGCAGTCTCTAAAACCCTTTCTAATTAAACCAAATATAGCATCTCATATATTCTGTGGACTGTCGCTGTGAGGACCGCAGACACGACAGGAGAAGACAGACTGGAGACAAAATCCTCCCTTGGTTTCCCAGAGTGGAGCGTGTTATATGGCAACGTACAGAGCCAATTAGGAAGGTGAATGTATGAGGGAGAATTTGGGTTTAGCCTGAGTAAATAGGTGTTTGAATACACTAGCACATGATTCAAATGCAGTGGATGTCTTTGTTAAAAAACACGTTATGCTTGCAACGTCAGGCAGTGCGTCACAGGTGCCACACGCAAGCGCACAAATCGGAGAACACACACACACCAGCACACATATGCGCGTACACACACACTCGCTCTCTCTCTCTCTTTCTCTATCTTTCGTTCTCTCTCTCAAGTGCAGTATTTACAAAGAGGTGACTCAGACAGGCAAGGTCCATGTACCAAGTAAGAAAGTCATACGCCATTTTTATTTGATAACTTTTCCATTTTTTGGGTGAATATGTGAAAATACAGTACTGTTTTGTATTTTCCCTTTCTTAAACTAGGAAGTCCCGCTGAGATTCATCATGTGTGATGGTTTAAGAACAGATTAGAGTGCACTTGTTGTCTTGGGCAGAAGGTTGTAAAAATAGTTAGTAAAAGATCACCCTGTAAAACAAGCACTTTGCTCAAATATAATTCTAATAGTCCACTTTATAGTTATGTTGAATTTATTTATTTATTATTTATTTATTACTGGGACAGTGCATATTAATGAACATTTCTGTAAATATGCCAGAATTAGCCAAACGGCTATTTTTCATCCGTAGTCCCTTTCTTTTGTATTTTTTATGAACAATATTTTCACTGAAACAATATAGTCTAAATATTGCTATTGTTGATTGAAATAATCCAAAGCGCTTCTTTGAATGTGCTATCATAGATATGATACTTTTAAAGCAACTGAAATACTGATATAGATACAATTAAAGCTCTACACCAGACGTGTGTTACAGTATATTGTACACTGGTCATTGAAACACACGACTAGATGTTTTTCAACATAACAACAGCATATTTTCTCATTTCTATAAATCGAATAAGCATCTGTGTTTTTGTTTCTTTGTGTATCTGACATTCACAAGCCACAATCTATTTTCTATCTCCCACGCCCATAAAGCTATCCCCCTGGCATTGCTCTGACGTCTGCCCTTTTCAAAACCACCAAAAGCGTCACATATTCTCATGCTTTCCATCCATTATCAGGCGGCAGACCTTAGTGCAGCTTCAGTCATCCAGGAAGTACAACTATCACTCTCTTACTAATTAGTACAAATGAGATGAGGGGAAAATGTCATTGATAAAGACGCTCATAGCAACCGGTCCTGGAAGATGTGGGGGTTGTTAGGCGGTGTCACCATGGAGACAACCGAACGTGTCACTCCCATCACAGCCTCAGTCATCGATGGAACCTAGAGTTGAGGATTCAGTATGTGTGCCTGTAGCCAGCGGTGACATAAGTAGGAGTGATAGCTATTCAATCAAAGCATCCAAGGTTAAAAGTGAAGTCACGAACATCTGAGTCCTTGGTGGGAACAAAGTGTGCTTTTGGTGAATTGTGACGCTCCTGTGTCCATTTTAGTTGATGCCCAGAGACATATCAGTCAAATCAGATAAGGTCTATTTTCCTGATAGTATTGGGATAATGAACTGTGATACATTTAATCACTAATCACAGAGTCTGTTTAATGACCAATCATACCTCTTGGACATGTGTTGGTGTTGCATTTGGTTTCTATGATAACATGGTGAATGTGTCTGCCCACTTAAAGGTTCCACAAATAAAACACGTATGTCATTTTTCTATTAGAATTCAGACCATTTAAAGTAGTCTGAATGTATTACATTAAATAAGTTAAAGTAGCAATACAGTATGTAAGATTTTTATGTCAAGACATCATGGCCCTAATCTGTCAAAAGGCATTAATAAACCAAGCTCCTTCCCATTATTTCTTTAACTGATTGCAGTATTTCAGCCGAGATATTTGAATTTCAAAACAAGTTTTACAGCCCCTAAATTGGGATAAAATAGAGCTGAGAAAAGTAGAGAAGGGCTGGTGGGAACAGGACCACAGAAATCTACCAGTAAAATCATCTGAATGACTAAAGACAGACAACCTTAGATTGAAGCTGGTTTTTAGAGCCACTCTTTACAAAAAGAGACATTTATGGATTTTGAAATTGTATTGTATGTGAACATGTGAGTTTTCCTGTCCGTCCTCTTCATCAAATATTATGACTTTATCAAATTCAACAAAGAGAGCATAACTTCTGAATCTAAAGTGCATCTAAAGTGGATGCAAATTAATTCTCAGGAGAAAAGCAACACACGCATCCGGACATCAAGTGTTTACTACGTAATAGAGGACAAAGGTGAGACCACGCAAACAAGTGAGAGGTGAGGGGTGCTGGTTTTCCAATTAGAGTTACCATAATTGGAATTTATTATTAGAGCTTTCCATCTACTGCTTGTGTGCTTACGTGTGTAGGTGAGGTAATTGGGATTTTGGCAATGTTATATACAACTATAGCAATTTTACTTTAGTAAAATATGTAGACATAATTCCCTACTTGCAGCAGGAATGTTCCAGAAAGACCATACAAGATGTTCCAAATAAAGATAAAATGTATGCCGTGATGAGACATTACAATAAAAAAGTATCGTAAATATTTTGTGCAGTATCCATTGCTCTAAATATGGGTTCATTGTCCACTTCTACAAAATGTCAAATGCAGTGGACATATTTTACTTTGTTGCAAAAACATTGCTAATGCTAACGATTATGACACTTTTGTCATAAAAGACACCCAGATTGTTCATTAGTATTAGTTTAATTGAGTAATAAGGAGCATGAGGTAAACGCAATCAACAACTAATAGATGTAATTTGTTTCACACAAATAATAGTGCAGAGCAGCATGTTGGTTTGAAAAGAGTGGATCACTGTGTATATATCAGGGTAAACGTGGTTCCTGGAGACAGCTCAAAAAGTAAGGAAGCTTATCTTCTTCTCAGAAAGGAATTTAAGAGCTTTTATGTATGTGTATCCTGATGATCATTGTTTGTTCAGTCAGAGATCCTCTTCCGTCCACCATTCGTTAGTGGCAATAATTAATCTTTAGTGCAGCAGAACAAGTTGCTGTAGATCGTCAGGTGATAAGGATTAAGATGTTTGAGGCATTATATCAGAATTGTCCACCTTTATTTAGTTGTAGCAAAATTGTGTTAAGACGAACAATGTATCTTTATAGAAGTATACCTTACATATGATCCATTTTCCCAAGCACAGGGTTTCATTGTCATTGACAGAATATTTGCCTGTGCAGTGAGACATTATTTCTATGCAATGGGCTGGTTTCCATAGTGATGTAGCTGTGGCAGGTACAAGGAAACAATTGTATTTCATTATGCCAGATGTGAATATAACCTTTAACTGATGGATAGCACAGCTCTGGTTTTTTGCAGTGTGGGTTACTGTCCCTCAGGGTACGAGCTATTTTCTGAATGGAGACTTGTGATGTCACTGAATGTTGCAGTAAGGTTATACAAGCCATACAAAACATTCATAATCCAGTTTTTTTTTTTTTATTCAAAGTACTTTAGAGTCACACTCTGAAAAACTAGACCTCTGCCAAGTACTTTAAAATACAATCTCAGTTGAATGAAGCGGAAAAGTAAGTATCTGCCAAAAACACAAAACAAGAGTGGATTTACTTAAACACAAGTATACTGAATGGGATATCTGATGTTGCTTGTGTGTTCATAGATATTGAAAAGACCAAAATATTTTATTTAGTTGATGACATTCTAACAAATGCCCCTCCTCCTTATTGAGACCATAAACTTCTACACTCAATATCATCAGCCCAAATTCAGCAGAAAGAGACGTGTTTACCATCTCTGTCAATGAGAAAGAGGGTTGCTGATCTGCGATAGCACCACTGTGGTGGAATAAGCCCGTGAGTCATCATAGGAGGATTTTTAACTCTTTAATGCTTGTTGTTTGAATAAAGCAGATGTTAAAATTATAGCTATTAAGATTGAACAAAAACATTAATGTGAGCTGTATTAATAGAAACGGAAACATATTTCTCCTGATGCGTGTTGTGTTTGGATGAGATACAGTATATGTTCATGTAACAATAGATTCCAATTATCATTTGACTTACCATCTCAAAGATTAAACAGCAAAACATTGAACATTGCTCTGACGTCACAGCTCTTGGCCTGAATTCAGAGTCCTATACATTCTCTACCTGGATACTTTTAAAATATCTTCCATCCAATAGCTTCCTGCTGCAAACAAATAGGCAGAGCTATCTTTATCAAAACAGCTTTTTTGCATACCGTATCACAGACCTGAATCATTTATATGGATTTCTCGTCCTCTTCTCCGCCCCTTGAGCAAGGCTATTGCGTACGTTCGCAGCGATGACGCGGTAGTCAGGTGCCGCCTCTTATAACGAGGGGAGCTGTCCAAGTGCTGAAACAGAATCGCATACAGGAGATGCCCTACACCTTCGCTACGGTCTGAGCTCCATTGCCAAAGGTGAGACAATTATTACCACACATTTCAAAGCAGCAGCTATCATATTTAGGATGGACAAAGGCTACATGAATTCGACCAACTGATTCCAGCGTTGGTAAAATAGTTGATATGACTGGGTGTGTGATCAAAAGCTTAAAACAAAGAGAAATTACGGAAAGAATCGCGATCCATAGGCTATATCTTAAAGATGTTACTGCTTAACGTTTCGACGAGCGGAACAATGAGGTGACTCATCCATCACTGAATGCGTCGTCCCCTTGAAAAGCATATTGCGTGTCAAAACATGCGGTCGATCAGAGATAGAAAACGGGATGTTTGTTGTACTTCTCGTCTGGTCGTTTAGCAGCCACAACTTATACGCGCCTGAAGCGTTAAAATACCCGATTGAACTCCGTGATTCTCACTTTTGAAGAACGATAATTGCAGCACACCATGTTTTATCATATATCCTATCAAGTCGAAATTAGTGGCCCAAACAGACACATTTCTTAACTTTCTCTGTAGGCTACTCTCGATTACGTTGTTAAGTTATGTGTTTTTGCTCGGCTTTGCAGGTAGTCAAACGCCTATAATGCTGCATTTCCACCACAAGTTGCCCACGAGGGGAGCGGCGCTCCTCACTGCCCTGCTGTGCGTGAGCGCGGCGCAGGCTGCGTCTCTCCCCCGCCACTACAGGCTGAGAGGGGGGGACGTTGATGTTCAGCCATCCCCGGATATGATGAAGGCCCTGGAGTACATCGAAAACCTCAAACAGCGGAACGAAGGCCGTGGTGAGCCCGCGGATTATGATGAGGTGGAGAAGTTTCGCGTCCTGCTTCAGCTCGCCACACAGCAGCAGCAGGATGAAGCCGCGCCAGGGACGCTTCAGAGGCAGGACATCACCGCGGAGCAGCTCATGAAAACCCTGCTCCGCTCTCTCCAGGGAGAACCAAGAAGTAGCCCAGCAACGTCCAGGAACAATCGACGTGCATACAGACACCGCACTAAAGAGACGGGGACATCCCAGAGTGCGCCTGCAGACTACACCAACACACCCCGGGCACATAAGAAATACCCCCTGATGTTTGAGGATGAGGAGAATACAGATGCGTCCAAACGGGCCACAGAGGACCTGGACGAGCAGTACACACCCCAAAGCCTTGCCAACCTGCGTTCCATCTTTGATGAACTGGGCCGCATGCCCATGCTGCAGAAGAGGACTGTGCAGGAAGACGAAGACCAAGATGAAGAGGTCTTGAGCTTGAGGAGCCAAGCATATGAGGATGTAGCAGGAGGGGAGGAATGGGTCCCAATGGAGGAAAGGGAAGAGACTGAGGAGCTTGTCAACAATAGTCGTGAAGAGATGGACCGAGCTGTAGACCCAGAGAGTGAAGAGGAAGTGGAAGAGGTTCAGCGCAGGGCCGACCAGGAGGAGGCTCATGATGACACAAAACTAGTGGACTACTACCTTCTAAAAGTATTAGAGATGAGCGACCAATCACAGAAAAAAAGAGATTTGGAAGGAGAGCAAAAAAAGAGATTGATCCGTCCCTCAATTGTGGATCCACGCACAGTCAAAGAGCTACTAGAGCTTTCTCTAAAGCTCCATGTCCCACCACAGGACCTTATTGACATGCTGCTCACCGAAGAGCTCCGGAAGCTGCACCGTGATCCCCAAGGCTCCACCCGCTTCTCTACTACCACTGGGCAAACTCCCAAAATTAGGTACTTCACCCGTAGGCTGCCCGTTAAAAACAAAGTGCAGCCAGAGGACATGGATCGAGAAGACTTCCTGGACATTATCGGGGTGGAGACCATCAGTAACGAGTATCCAGTAATTCAGCGTCCCATGAAAACCCCCTCACCTCCAGACAGGATCTCTTCACTTCCAGCTTTGAGCTCAGGGCCTGTAAGAATCCCTCCCCCATCTGGCCGCAGAGAGAATCTCTTTCTCTCTGAGCTCAACAAAATGCCACTCAAGCGTCAAAGCGATACAGACGATGAAGATGATGTTGAAGATGAAGTAACCACATATCTAGCTGCCAAAATCCTCACAGAATACCCCAACACTATCAACAAGAGGGACACCCAGGCACAGCTCAGAGGACAGTTTCCCTTTGAGCTTTATGAGAAGGCTATGAAGGACTATTTAGATCAAAATGAGAAACGACCGATTACCAAAAGGGAGACTGAAGTCACAGCCACTGAGAATGTCAATCCCACAGAAATGCTAAAAGACGCACTTTCTGACAAGACACAGGCTCCTCAAACCATCAATGAAGAGGGAGAGAACAAGGAGAAAGTTGTGGCAGGAATGTAGATGAAAGGTTTGGGAGATCTGACGCACGTGTTTAAAGTTTTAGTATTTATACTGTCTTAAAAATAAAGTTTGGTGGACGTGATCTAGTTTACAGATTTCTATTATAATTTGTTTAGCTGGTATCAAATCTACCCTAATAACTATAGCAATTTTACTTTTGTAAAATATATAAATATAAGTCCCTATACTTGCTGCAGGAATGTTCCAGAAAGACCATACAAGATTTAAAAAGGTACAATCTATAAAATAAAACTAGTTTGGTCTTTGCCTTGTCATTGCCAAATCTCAACAACAATGTATATGAAACCAAAAGTGACGTTTGTGTTGTTGTTTGTTTACATTAATTGTGTTTGTAAACTGAAAACTGGCCTATATTTTCAAATATAATCAATAGAGTAACAATGATATTTTTCATGTATGTCAAGATTATGTATTGGGAAAATGCTGCCTGGGCCTTGACTCTAAAGCTTGTCCACCTTTTTGGGACCTATTTAGGTGTACAAAAAAGTATCTTGAGATAAAAAAATATGTGGAGCTCAGAACAAATGTCTATTCAGGGTTCGTGAATTTATTGGTATGGTCTACGTTTTATTATGAGACCGTCGCCTGCCTTCCAACCCTTTCATACTGCATCATGTTGGCCTAACAGTGGTTGTGCTCCGTACGCTCATTTTTAAACCATTTTGTACATGTTAAATAATGTGTATTGAATCACAGAAGAATAAAGCATCAGCTATATTTTTTTTCTCCTTGCTGGGTTGAGTTTCCTTTTTAAACATCAAGCAAAAATAAGCCTGATAAATGACTCAAGAAAGACTCAAGAATAGGAATAACAACTGAAATGTCAATATACATTATTTTAATTCAATCTACAACATATCAAATTACACATTACAAAATCCTCACTTTCACCCATCTGTCATACTGCAGACCACACAATTACATACAATTCAAGAACAGAAAACATCTATAATGTAAATACATTAACAATAAACATTCATTCTATTACAAAAACAAGACACATATTGTTGGTCTTCCCTCAAATTGTAGTGATTTAATAAATGCTTCACATCTTTATAAATAGTCTTGTTCACTTCATTTTTCCTGATTATACACATTTTAAGATCTGCACCCTGTATAAAAACATTCAAGCAATTGCAGCAAAAAGCAATGTTTTAGGCAGAATAAATGTTTTTGTCTTAAAATATCTCCCAAATGACACACACAGTACCCCGATTTTGTTTTGGTTTTGTAACAATCATCCTTCCACGTCAGAAAGCAGGCTTGCTCATATACTCCTCCATGGTCTGAGTAAACACAGAAAACACAGAAAAGTGGATTGATATTGAGGCATTGCTAAATGGACTATAAATATTCACAAACACAGCACGCACCACCTGCTACAAAGAGAAAACGAACACACCGACACAAGCAAAGCCTCTAACCTTTCTGTCCATATTCACGGTCATCCAAACAGCTCCACCTCATACCACTCATTGTTGTCATCCTGAAGTCATAATGGTCAAAATGAATGGGAGGCTACACTGCACAATACGTATCCAGGCTCTAAGTGTTAGTGATCCTTATTCACAACAAGCCACAAAGCAAGTACCACCCAGTTTGATATGCTATACTGAACCACACACGCACACAAGGGATGGGTGATATATCATTCGCTAACAATATCAGCATTAGAAATATCAATTTTCTTTTCTTCATAGATAGAGAAGTATACCACCTGTGTATTAGCCAGAATTTCCCAACAATAATTCTGTCTGTGTGCCTTTGTCATTCTCAGTGTCCGTGGTGTATCAGAATTGTGAAATATTGGCTCAAACAAATCCATATCAGACCATCCCTAACACAGGCTAAATCTACAAGCTCCAAAGAAATCTGTCTCTCACTCTCCAACTTTAATTTTGACAGAGAGAGAGAGAGAGAGAAAGAGAGAGAAGTACACAGACAGACAAAGCAAAGAGCCAAAACAACAGCTACAAACCACAGCGTTTTAGCTACGAGGAGGCAGAGACACACCCCCAGGGAGTGAACAGCACCATTGTTAATGGATCTCATTACGCCACTTGTTTACTACTACATTTACATGCCACACACAAAGTCAAACTAAGTCAATAAGACGCCTGGTGTCATCAGTCAGGTGCAAACTACATTGATCATAGGACATCCCCAAATATCATGATGTTTGGACACAGTACATTATACAGTATTGGTGTTTCCCAAACAAAAAATAATCACACAGTGTATAGGTTCATATGTCACTAAAATTGAGTACCTTGAATGCAATAACAAGGCAATATAATAATTTTGAAAAAAACAAACAATTAATAAATTGAAATATTTCTTTAAAAATCTGAAATATTTTGTGACCAATTCCATTCAGAATATCATATGAATATAATACCTTTTTCTTTTTTCAAAAAAAGTAAGGTATATAAAATGAGACTTTGGGGTTATTATTGCTGAACAAAATACTAAGATACATTATAAAGTACAAATTTGTATTTGGGGATGTACTTATATGATAACACCAATACCAAAGCCTTGTGTGTACGCACCTCTTGCAACATGTCAGAGTTTTCGATGCATCGGTTTATCGTCTGTTTGGAGGTTTCTTGAACTTCTCCACCAATTAGAAATTCATCGAGGATAAAATAGGCTTTCTCAAAGTTAAAGATTATGTCCAATTCACACACCTGAGAGGAAACAATAACAGAAGGTTTCAAATAAGGCCACACATCCCTGTAGTCTGAACTAGCGTGCTGGATTAATCGCAAAACGTGAAAACAGTGAAAAATCCGCACAGCTATGTTGCTCCCAATCAGTGTCTTTTATTTACAGACCACGTGGTAACGTTTATAGTAACCTGACGTTTCCACGTGGTCTGTAAATAAAATACACTGATTGGGAGCAATATAGCTGTGCGGATTTTTCACTGTTTTCACAGGAAACAATAACAAACATAAGATAACTCATGGCAAACTGGATCAATTGATAAAAACTAATAAAGTAATTTACGTTATCTTATATTATGTGTTACTCATCCTGGATCCAAATAGTATACAAATTAACTATCATTAATAATCAAATTACTAATTCACCTATGACTATGAAGTTAATATAAATATAAATTTAATACATTGCCAAAGTATTTGTCAAGCAGCTCCACATATCGATGGATGACCTCAAGAGCCAACAGCTCATTCTCCTCTCGCTCCACACCCAAGCAGAAATACAAGCTGGCGTACCTTCACAAACAGACATTTAACACCTCGCCATTAGTCTTTAAACAATGAAAGTAAAACATTGCAATACAAACTGGGGATAACCTGCCTTTTATAAATAATTTTCAAGTCTTTCCAATGAATGAAATTACACGACCGTGGTTGCCGTGCCAACACCATGGTTGTCATATCCCTGATAATCTTTTTCTTCTCTCGCTCGGTCAGTGGCGTGTACCATTTCTGCAGACGGAGCTTCCCTTGGCGACTGAAGAGGAGCAGGAAACGCATCTATAGAAACACAAGAAATGTTAATTTCCAACAATTGAACCTTGTTATACCCCAAAAGCAAGAGAATGTGTATAATTGTTATACGGTTATAAGCTCTATGAGCTACTGCTTAATGCACATGCATTAGTTTAGTTTTTTTTGTTGAATATCTTATCCTTATCTGTCCAAAAGTGCTTTTGCACTAGTGTCTTATAGAGAAGGCCATGTCGTTGATTGTGAAATATGCGTCATTGTCAAATAAAGAGTTAAAAGGGGCCACTCAGCTATGTAGTCAAGTAGCACACATGTATTTATATATATATTATATTATATTATATTATATTATATTAATATATATAACATATATATTATATATATATATATATATATATATATATATCCATAATGGATAGATTCGGCAGGCACACAGCCACAGTCCAAGATTGAACAAGAGTATATCATGCATTAAACATGTTACCATATAAGTAACAACAAACCACAGAAACAGTCAGTGAAAGAGAAAGCTTCACAGGTTGCAGTGGCAGATGTTTTTTCTTTTTAGGTAGGCCTATATCTATGGTGTCATTGGATTGTGTAGCTCAATTTGCATTAACTGTTGGTTTGACAGTGCCTTGGTAAGCACAATGACCATGTACAAAGAATGCTACTTTAGTATGCTACAGTAGAATTAATAAATTCATAAAATTAGATGTTGATGATGACGAAAACTTTCAAAATATCCTTTCTGAAGGGAAACTATGCGAAACCAGTGAAAATGGCACATGTTAATCAGATAACCTGTTTTCAAGAGAGTCGACCAGGAAGCTAAGCAGTAGAAAGGTTGAAACCCGGAAATGTGTCTAACCTATTTCTCTGACTGGATATAAGGAAATACAGGCCCACACCTGCTTGAATAACAGGCGGTGGATTTTCATGATTAATGTAGAGTTGACGTTGTACTGTAATTCATTCTATTAAATGCAGGTATTCTTTCTATTCGTGTATGAAAAGGTGATGAGACAGTTTTAGATTTAGGTCAGATACCTGTCAACAGGTGAATGACCTAGGAGCATAGCAAGTGAAAGTAAACTTCTGGAAAACACTTACCATAGTGCAGCAGGGAAATGTAAAAACAACTAGGCCAAATGTGAACAACTAAACTACTTAAACCCTCATAAAGGGGCGAATGAACTGACGGATCGCATATCTGCCAAAGCGTCGTCCTCTACGCTGCAGTAAAAGTTCATAAACTCCGCCCACCTGCTGCTGCCAGCCCACAGGAAACACTGCATCAGAACCACCCAACATCAAAGAAACACACATTATTATTTACACATGTCTGTAAATATTACGCACGAGATATCGACGTAGACACACACGACTTGAGTTTTTAAGAAATTAAAGAAAAATAAGATATTGTTTCAAGTATTGTTGCTGTTGCCGAATACCACAGGTAGGGAGCAGCAGTGAGGCACATTTGTCTGTTTGTCTCTTTGACACACTCCTTTCATCCCATCTGGTACTGGAGTGGACCAGGACCAGGACCAGGACCAGGACATCTGCTGCAAGTCTCTTTAACAAGGATTGACTCAATGTCTTTTTACAGAAATGCGTTGTGGTTTATGAATGGCATTCAACAATACACAAAGTGAGTACCATTTAAACGGAAAGATTTAATTCTGCTGATAGAGGCAAGGAGAATCCATACTGTGTGGATGTTTGAGGATACAATAGAAGACGTATTGGATACTACCTATTCTAGTTAGATTACACTAGAAATATAACTATACAGTATATATTTAACAGCTATGAGTTAATTTCTAATGGCCAAACTACATCTCTTGGATTTTGTATTTATTCTTATACAATATCATTACATACATGTAAAGAAAATAAAACTGACAGAGCTGAAGGTAAAATAAAACCCCACCACACCCCAAAAGAAAGGCAGAGATTCTTCATACTATTTTCAAATATTTCAACAGTGACTGCGTGTGTGTGATTAAGTAATAAACTCTTACTGTTTTTAAGAGATGGATATGAGAGAGCATCGAGACACTTTGACTCTCATGATTTGGACTTATCAGTTGTGGGAAGATCCTTCATGGTGACAGGAGCCAATGATGGTATTGGTAGAGTGGTTGCCATGGCAATAGCAAAAAAAGGTTCCCACTTAGGTTTAAAATGTATAACTAATGATGTTGAGAAGCACAATAACAGTATGGTTGTACTTTGTTGGACAGGTGGTACTGTACACATTCTGTGCAGGAACCCGGACAAAGGTGAGGAGACCAGGGCAGATATCATCAGGGAATCTGGAAATACTGTGAGTGTGCAGCGTCTTAAGCAACAGTGTCTCAGGGCACATTCACACTTGTTGGTTCGGCTCACTCGACGAAACTAAATATGGTGCCCTTCGGGAAAAATGCTTTATTTGTGGATGTAATACCAAAGATGTGAACATGTCTGTTACGTAAGTCTGTTTCATCTGGAAACAGACATACTTTAACTGAATTAGTCTAACTTTTTAGGAGGTCCACGTCCACATTGTAGACATGTCAGAGACGCGGAAAGTGTGGGAGTTTGGAGACACATTTAGGAAGCAATACACAGCTCTTAATGTTTTAGTGAGTATATTGATTATAATGTATAGAACTTATTACACATCATACAACATATCTGTAATGTATGCAGATACACAATGTAGGATGCAAGTTGCAGAAAAGGGAACTGAATGATGGACTGGAAAAGAGTTTTGCCACCAACACAATGGGTGAGTCAAGACTTTCACTCAAGATGTTTGATGTTTGCCTTGAGTTATAACTATGATATTTGTGTCTCCAGCGGTTTATGTGCTCACTCGGACACTCTTACCCCTTCTGCAAAAGAGCAGGGATCCAAGAGTGGTATGGTCAGACACGAACACAATCATGCTTCTAAACACAATGGGACGGTTGTCTATTCATCTGTGGCTCTGCTTTTCCACATTTGTTAGATCACTGTGTCCTCAGGCGCTATGCTTGCTCAAAAACTTAAAGTTTACGACTTGCAGTCAGAGAAAAGTGACTTTGATGGAGTTCTAGTGTATGCCCAGAATATGGTATGATTTTAATATTTTGATCCCACTGATTACCAGATTGCAATTGCATTCACAAGTTGTGGTTTTGTTCCAGAGACAGCAGGTGGTGCTAACAAAGCAGTGGGCCAAAGCCAACCCCATCATACACTTCTCTGTGATGCACCCAGGCTGGGTGGATACACCAGGTAGTATCTGAAAGAAACCCCATTATGTGTGAAAAGTATAAACAGTTGTGTTCATCAGCCATGTCTGCTTCAATGCCGGAGTTCCACAAAATGATGGAGGGGAGGCTTCGGACGGTTGAGCAGGGAGCAGACACCGTTGTTTGGCTGGCTTTGTGCAGGGCTGCTTCAAGAAGCCGAAGTGGACTGTTCTTTCAAGGTAACCTGATTGACCCATAGTATGAACATTGAATATATACTGTACAGACAAATAATCTACACAAACTGATTATTGACTCTTTACACTTTCAGATCGTAAACCTGTACCTGTACACTTGCCTCTGGCTTGCACTCGCAGCTCTTCTGAGGATATTGAGAGTTTTATGGCACATTTGGAAGCCCTAGCTATTACCATACAATCGAAAAAGCCAGATTTACTTAGAAGTGATTCCCCTGATATAACCAATCCTGAATTTGTTTAAACTGATGGTACTTAAAGATAAAGGGCAATCACAACAAAGGCCTATAGTCTCCTTCTGACTAATATTACTCAAGACTTATTCCAAATCTAATTTAGTTTTGTCCTTTTTCTTACTCACTTTTCTAGCAGGGAAAACTGTTCAACAATATATGTTTACAATGCAGTTTCCCCTCAGACCCAGTATTTGTATTAATTTTTACAAAAGCCTGACAGCTGTCTTGGTTAATTATTGTATCATTGAGTGCAAATTAAAGTCACTTTTAAATCTCATCTTGCATATGTTTATAAATATTTACAGTCCCCATCAAGAATTCAGTTGATGTAAATAATTTCGAAGGACGGACCATATGCAAAAAAAAAAAAGGATAGCTACAAGCGATATTGAAGCAAGTGAAAAAACAGCACTTTTAATTTTGTGACAATCCACATATGCACGTTTAATAATTGTATTTGTTTTAATTGTGGGAACAAAAAACAAAAAATGTGGTGCATTCACATTTTCCCCAAGGATTTGTCAGTAACTTCGATCTCTATCAGGGTTAAACTTGAAGATGGATCCAACCACATTAAAATTCACAGGGAAGACTAAATTAAAAACCACCAGGAGATTTTGATGCGTAGCGCCCCCCTCCCCCCTCAATCCCAATCAAGTGAGTTTATGGTGTTTAAAAGTCGATGACCGCTTTTGTTTTCAAAATAATTGTCCTTGATGAAAAAGGCAGTCCAAATGAAACTATTTCCATTTCCAGTCTCTTTATCTCCTTCTATCAATAAAAGTGTCTCTATGCAACATAGGTGTATACTTTACGATCCTCTGGTGTTCTTGCCAAGTATTCTCTTTCTATTAGTCCTTCAATACGCTTTTTTATAACCACAGGACTGGGGAGGAAACGGGCCCGGAGCTGCTGAGTCACCTGTTAAAACATACAAAACGTTTAAATATAAGATTATAAGCAAAACACTGTAGGTTTGACGTTCATTTCTTACCTCTGCGACCAAAACATTATGCTGCATCTTCTTTCGGGACTTCATGATTCGGACAATTGCAGCTTCAATTTCATGTTTTCGGTCATCATCTACTTTTTGTCGCGTTTCTTTTCGTTCAGGGTCAGATTCTCCTTGTTTAGCAGCAACTGAAACAAAATATTATACATAATGAATAATTCACATGTTTGGCCTCTTTAACCAGAGGGAAATACTAACAAATACAGACCCGTTTGAATTTTGACTCTGTGCAGCTTCGAAGTAAACTGATCGTTAACTGTAAACACATGGCCATTCTCTATCTCCTTGGACTTGGGCTCCTTTGTGAGGATCCTCTGTGTAGGTTTTCCACAGGCTAAAGATTGTAACGCTCGCACCAACTCTCGCTCGGGAATATCCGTCTCTTGTTGAATTTCCTATTCAGGATCAAATAGTATAACTTAGAACGCATAACGCACTGGGAAAATATAAGTTTCCAATTTTTAAATAGTAGACTCTAGACAGAAACTATACCTCAAATGTGGACTTTTCTCTGTTGTTAAAAAGCATAAGAATGGTCATCTGAAAGGTGGAGACTTGCAGTATGTGCTTGCGAGTGTTGGAGCCTGTGACCTGAGCACCACCGACGCCCACTTCAGAACCATCCTCCTGCAGTGTTACAAAGGAAAAATTAAGCTGGTCCAACATTTAACAATTTTTGAAACTGCTAAACCTACCTTCTTAACCACACCATAGAAAGTTGCATTTAGGTCTGCACCACCCATGTGATGCTGCAGTGTGAGCTGTCTCCCACTGTGCTTAGCCAGGTAAAACCTGAAAAACAGAGCACACTGCATTAAGAATCTCTATATTTCAGATATGAATAAGATTAAATCAAAGCCTTACCTTCTGAAGACTTCAAAGGCGTGTCTGGGTGAAGGGGGGATATTGCATTTAGGGGTTGCTGACTGAGTGGGCCAGTAGCCTGTTGTGAGAACTCTTACAATTAGGTCCACTCCACTGAGAGAAGCCTGAAATGAGTAAAGAAGGCTTTTTGTGGCAACCCATTATTTAATCAGGGCAAAATGATTCAAAAATCTCCCAATTTTAAATTGTTCATGATGCAGGACTCACGATTCACATTGCACTGTGATGTATACCATGTGCAAATATTATTTTAATCTTCTAAACATATTATCTTAATATTTTCAACACAACAGTCAAGAATTAAATCTAATCTATATTTGGTTAAAATTGTTCAAATAAATAACACTTACTACAAGAAGAACATAAATAGTAAATTAGTAAAAAATAAAGTCTTGAATAATTAAGGGGGCACCAGCTCTGAAGAATCGGGAGCAGGTGGGCTTTGGTGATTTGATGTGACATTATAATACAGCCTGCAGGCGTATCATTGTAGCTGATCATGCCACATGTAATATTGAAATGATAAATATTGAGATTGAAATGACTATTTAACAGAAGGAGATTCTGGACATAAACAGAGCTGGAGGAGCACAATGTAGCATCTATGCCTTTTCTTTTCGTCTCAGTCGTAAATTTGTAGCACAAAATACAACATTGTGCAGTGCTCTTCGCTTCACTTTGTAAGTCTTATTGCATCTTCAACAATATAGATTTACTTCCTTCTGTTTTACATTATGACATGGAGTGTCCTCCATCTTACCGATGTGGTCTGAATGTGCTGCCTGAATTCATCCATAGTAGTGTTTGAGATGCTCATGTCTCTGAACATTCCTTCCAGTTTTGAAGTGAACTGACACCCACATTCTGTCTGTTAAAGAAAAACAAAACTTCAGTTGTGGACAAGAATGTAATTTAGTTCATGTAATGTAAATATAATCTATGCAAAATATTTTACCTTAAGCTTAGAAATCATATTTTTTTCAGAGTCATCGGACACACTCTTGTTACTCAAAAGCCTTCGGCCAAGATGCTGCTTGTAGTACCTTTCAAACACATCTTTTTCTTGCATGAACCTGAACAACACCATGGCTTTGTCAAGAATTGACTCAACCTCTTGCTCTGTCAGCTGCACAAGAAATAAAAGTGATCAGTAGCAATTAATTCAACAAACAAAATCACGATTCTGTAATGTATATCATACCCCTTTGACACCCTTCTTCAACTTGTCATCAATAAAAAGAGATAAATATTCTGGTGAGCGAGAGTTGAGGTTGAGGAAATACTCAAAATCTCCTGCTATTGTTTGCTTGAAGAGTCTGTCATTGTTGAAGGACTCGAGGAGAAAGCGGTCAAACCTTGTCTTCAGATCTAGTAAACCCTGTTTGACGCAAACAGAAACAAAAGCTTAGTTTCCAGTAACAGTATAAGATATTACAGAAACATAAAAGTTTTCGACCTGAATATAGTCCACAGGGTTCTTTCCTTCTCCTTCTTCTGAAACAAGTGCTTTGCCTTGCTCCCGTAAGTAAGCGCTCATGCACTCACACATTGTTTTTAACCCATTTGGCACACGACTGAATAACTTGTACATGCAGGCCAAGTCTAAAGAAAGAAGCTATGGTCAGGTTCATATTCTTTTCACCTAATCAAAGTCAGATTGTCATAAAATTCAATTTTGGCTATTTAAAAAGTGAACTTTACCTTCCGTCTTCCCATTTTTTAGCATATGAACAAGTCCAGAGTTTTCCATTTCCACAATTGTTTTCATATGTTTTGAAATAAGCTCTCGTTCAACCACTTTGACAATGGGTTCTTCTGTGGTTTTGTCCAAACAGTGCATAACACGCTCAATCTCCTCATTTATTCTTGCCTCAACTTTCTTTATGTACACACTAGCACTGTTTTCAGCCAAGAACTTTTGGCTCTCCATCTATTTGTCCACAATGTTCACATGTTAGTTTATGACATCTATTATATATGTTAATATATTATAAACTGAGAATTATGAGAAAGGAAGAATAAATGGTGTCTTCACCTGAAAGAACTCAGCAGACATATCCAAGAATGGGCCTTCAAAGTCCTCCTCATATACAGTTCTTCCATCCAAGCCAAGGATCATCAACATCTGACAGGCATTTCTAATGGCTCCTCTACAATTTAAAAAGTTTATTCAGTTGACCAGATATACAGCATTATGTTAAAACAGAACAAGGACGATCAAACTGGGACTACCTGTCAACAACTTCTCCCTTCCTCTCACGCGCAATCATGTCCAATAAGGTCTGTTGAAGATGGTCCCTAATGCAGCCATAGCGCACAACTTGATCTCTGAAGATGATGAGGCCCAGGTTGTACACATTCTCCACATTATTTTGTTGAACATAAACTCTGTCCTGTGTTTATCAAATAAATGAATTACATTTCTTTCAATAAAATATTGATCAATGAAAAGTGCTGAAGTTGTTTGTCATACTGATATAGTTTAGTTTTTTTTGTAAGAGCACAAACTCAAGTTTAAACCCTGTGAAGCTTTTTGCTCGGACTTCAACGTCCATAAAAGTATCCTTTCCAATACTCTTTTATCAGTAAAATATGACGTGGTATTCACTGTATGGTGTTACTTACCATGTACATAAGAATGTCTCTTATCATAACCATTGCAGTTTGATGGTCATTCCAAGCTTGATTCAATGTTTGCAGAAAATTGTTATTTAAAGAATTAAGCACATCCTCCCGTACCTAAATATTTATCAAATGAAAACTGTTAATCCCATTTTGCTGTTTAAAACGGTTGCAATTGTTATTTTTAAGATATACTTACTTTGTTGATTAGATGTTCTGTAACAACTTCCCTTAAACCAGTGTAGAGCTTTTCCCCATGTTTGTGGAGAACCATGGTGTAGGCATTCCTGTATAGCTCCTCAAAACTCAGCCCACTATTATTCTTCCTCTGGATCTCCTGGATAGCATTTTTGAGAAGGTCCCATATGTTGTTCACATACTTCTCATCCATGTTCATCTTGGAAGAAGAATCAAAGCATTAGGATGTAGAACTCATAAACAAGATGATAATACCAACAATAACAAGGTAATAATACCCATTAGTTTATTATCTATTTGAAGGAAAAATGTATATATGCATATAATACAAATAATTGGTCTGAAAAAGGGATTGATGTTTGCCAAATATGAAGCTGTAGGACCCATAAATTGAATACAATTTACATCCCTATGGCTACCATGAATAAACAGGGAACTGAATAGCACAACTATAGCCTGCCATCCTCTTCCATGCAAGTTCCAAAATGATTTAGACATTTCAAATAATATACTGAATATTTTTGCAATGTTATGATTTCACTAAAACTAATATACATAGCGGTTACATAAATAAACTCTGGAGTAACTGCATTGCATCTATGGCTTAGTCACATTTGTAATCAACTAATTGTCTTTCAATCACATAAAGGAGTTGCCCTTTGACACTTCACCAAAAAGTAGCTGGAGAAAATGGTATGGTGGAACATTACTGACAAGATAAGATGACATACAAGTTTGTGAATGGTCACAATGCACAATGCAATTTAATTCTGCACTGATTCTACGATGCAGCTAGTTATGTTAGTTAAGAAACATAGCTACTACTTATTTGTATATAGTGTATATATTGTGTGTGATCCCTGTGTGCTCTTACTACTGTCCTATATGTGCGATGCAACATCGAAATTTCCCCACTGTGGGACGAATAAAGGAATTCTTATCTTATCTTAACACTAACTGATGGAGACACGTAAAGTAAGCTATTTCAAACATTTAAAATTTGTTTATCGTTTATTTGGATGGGACAGCACATATTAATAAACAGCAGGAGGTGTAAATACCCAAGATTGTAGATACATAGCTAAAATACATTATGCTTTATTTCAAGATAAACATTAAAACTTTCATGCCAAAAAGAAGCAGATGGCAGCCTCATCAGAAAAGCTGTGCACCTTCAACTATGTGTCATTTTGTACCAAAAGGATGACAAGGAATGCAGTTAAGACAATGATTCATTCACAACGTTATTGTTCTGGCCACAACTTAACGCACTCTACAACACGGACACAGAATATTAAACACCGGTATTCACGAGTCGTACATTTATAGTAAGATGACAGCTGCTGCTGCTACACAAACAATTACAATGACACAAAGCAGACATGCTTCAATCTCACAGTTCATCACATGTAGCGTGTATAACGAAATATAAATCAGCTACCCGCTATCTTTTCTACAAATACAAACGAGAGGAATTTGCGATATAGACAGACAGGAGTAGTGGGGGAGCAACTTATCCTGTCAAGTAAGCTAGCCTGTCGGGCCTTGCTAATGTTGACCCGGCCACTCTCCAAACATCTGTGTTTTTGAACCACTAGACTTCCTGTCGCGTGGATAAAGTCAGCACTATATTATTCAGACGAAGAATGTACATTGAGCTCATATGTTTGGATAATAGCTTCGAGCAATGTTACTCTGCGCAAAATAACAGTTGTTTTTTTGTCGTAAGATAGGCTAGCTAACTGGGGCACTTGCTAGCATTCAATAAGACATTCCTTGTCACTCACTAGCTCACAAATATATATATTCAATGTTGTACATAGAGAACAAATACTCACAGGAAATGCTCGTATCCTCATCTTGGTGTCTTTTTTGGTGCCGCCTTTTAGATTGGACATGGTTATTTGTTTATAGGTAACGCTTCCAAATTAGCTTGTAGTCTACATTAAAAGCTTTTCTTGTCTGGTTTCCACTTTAGGGAAGAAGAGGCCATCAACTCAGGAGCCTCCACCGTGAGAAGTGAGTTGGTCAGCAATGCTGTTGTTGTTGTCACTCGCTTGCTGCTTTCTGGTTTGTGGCTAGTATCTTTGCTAAAGTTAGCCACTGTGAGCGCTGATGGCGGATGGGCATAGTTCAGTCCGACTGCGCAGGACACAAATCTCGCGACAGCGGAGCCTGAAAGACAGGTACAGAGTCTATGGTACTACAGTCTATGGTACTACAGTCTATGGTACTACAGTCTATGGTACTACAGTCTATGGTACTACAGTCTATGGTACAGAGGGTACAGTCTATGGTACAGAGGGTACAGTCTATGGTACAGAGGGGTACAGTCTATGGTACAGAGGGGTACAGTCTATGGTACAGAGGGGTACAGTCTATGGTACAGAGGGTACAGTCTATGGTACAGAGGGGTACAGTCTATGGTACAGAGGGTACAGTCTATGGTACAGAGGGTACAGTCTATGGTACAGAGGGTACAGTCTATGGTACAGAGGTACAGTCTATGGTACAGAGGGTACAGTCTATGGTACAGAGGTACAGTCTATGGTACAGAGGGTACAGTCTATGGTGGTACAGTCTATGGTACAGAGGGTACAGTCTATGGTACAGAGGGTACAGTCTATGGTACAGAGGGTACAGTCTATGGTACAGAGGGTACAGTCTATGGTACAGAGGGTACAGTCTATGGTACAGGAGTCTATGTACAGAGGTACAGTCTATGGTACAGAGGGTAAAGTCTATGGTACAGAGGTACAGTCTATGGTACAGAGGGTACAGTCTATGGTACAGAGGGTACAGTCTATGGTACAGAGGGTACAGTCTATGGTACAGAGGGTACAGTCTATGGTACAGAGGGTACAGTCTATGGTACAGAGGGGTACAGTCTATGGTACAGAGGGTACAGTTATGGTACAGAGGGTACAGTCTATGGTACAGAGGGTACAGTCTATGGTACAGAGGGGTACAGTCTATGGTACAGAGGGTACAGTCTATGGTACAGAGGGTACAGTCTATGGTACAGAGGGTACAGTCTATGGTACAGAGGGTACAGTCTATGGTACAGAGGGTACAGTCTATGGTACAGAGGGTACAGTCTATGGTACAGAGGGTACAGTCTATGGTACAGAGGGTACAGTCTATGGTACAGAGGGTACAGTCTATGGTACAGAGGGTACAGTCTATGGTACAGAGGGTACAGTCTATGGTACAGAGGGTACAGTCTATGGTACAGAGGGTACAGTCTATGGTACAGAGGGTACAGTCTATGGTACAGAGGGTACAGTCTATGGTACAGAGGGTACAGTCTATGGTACAGAGGGTACAGTCTATGGTACAGAGGGTACAGTCTATGGTACAGAGGGTACAGTCTATGGTACAGAGGGTACAGTCTATGGTACAGAGGGTACAGTCTATGGTACAGAGAGGTACAGTCTATGGTACAGAGGGTACAGTCTATGGTACAGAGGTACAGTCTATGGTACAGAGGGGTACAGTCTATGGTACAGAGGGTACAGTCTATGGTACAGAGGGTACAGTCTATGGTACAGAGGGTACAGTCTATGGTACAGAGGGTACAGTCTATGGTACAGAGCGGTACAGTCTATGGTACAGAGGGTACAGTCTATGGTACAGAGGGTACAGTCTATGGTACAGAGGTACAGTCTATGGTACAGAGGGTAAGTCTATGGTACAGAGGTACAGTCTATGGTACAGAGGGTACAGTCTATGGTACAGAGGGTACAGTCTATGGTACAGAGGGTACAGTCTATGGTACAGAGGGTACAGTCTATGGTACAGAGGGGTACAGTCTATGGTACAGAGGGTACAGTCTATGGTACAGAGCGGTACAGTCTATGGTACAGAGGGTACAGTCTATGGTACAGAGGGGTACAGTCTATGGTACAGAGGGTACAGTCTATGGTACAGAGAGGGTACAGTCTATGGTACAGAGGGGTACAGTCTATGGTACAGAGGGGTACAGTCTATGGTACAGAGGGTACAGTCTATGGTACAGAGGGTACAGTCTATGGTACAGAGGGTACAGTCTATGGTACAGAGGGTACAGTCTATGGTACAGAGGGGTACAGTCTATGGTACAGAGGGTACAGTCTATGGTACAGAGGGTACAGTCTATGGTACAGAGGGGTGCAGTCTATGGTACAGAGGGGTACAGTCTATGGTACAGAGGGTACAGTCTATGGTACAGAGGGTACAGTCTATGGTACAGAGGGGTACAGTCTATGGTACAGAGGGTACAGTCTATGGTACAGAGGGTACAGTCTATGGTACAGAGGGTACAGTCTATGGTACAGAGAGGTACAGTCTATGGTACAGAGGGTACAGTCTATGGTACAGAGGTACAGTCTATGGTACAGAGGGGTACAGTCTATGGTACAGAGGTACAGTCTATGGTACAGAGGGTACAGTCTATGGTACAGAGGGTACAGTCTATGGTACAGAGGGTACAGTCTATGGTACAGAGCGGTACAGTCTATGGTACAGAGGGGTACAGTCTATGGTACAGAGGGTAAAGTCTATGGTACAGAGGTACAGTCTATGGTACAGAGGGTAAAGTGTAGTATGGTACAGAGGTACATCTATGGTACAGAGGGTACAGTCTATGGTACAGAGGGTACAGTCTATGGTACAGAGGGTACAGTCTATGGTACAGAGGGGTACAGTCTATGGTACAGAGGGGTACAGTTTATGGTACAGAGGGGTGCAGTCTATGGTACAGAGGGTACAGTCTATGGTACAGAGGGTACAGTCTATGGTACAGAGGGTACAGTCTATGGTACAGAGGGTACAGTCTATGGTACAGAGGGTACAGTCTATGGTACAGAGGGTACAGTCTATGGTACAGAGGGTACAGTCTATGGTACAGAGCGGTACAGTCTATGGTACAGAGGGTACAGTCTATGGTACAGGGGTACAGTCTATGGTACAGAGGGTACAGTCTATGGTACAGAGGGGTACAGTCTATGGTACAGAGGTACAGTCTATGGTACAGAGGGTACAGTCTATGGTACAGAGGGTACAGTCTATGGTACAGAGGGTACAGTCTATGGTACAGAGCGGTACAGTCTATGGTACAGAGGGGTACAGTCTATGGTACAGAGGGTAAAGTCTATGGTACAGAGGTACAGTCTATGGTACAGAGGGTAAAGTCTATGGTACAGAGGTACATCTATGGTACAGAGGGTACAGTCTATGGTACAGAGGGTACAGTCTATGGTACAGAGGGTACAGTCTATGGTACAGAGGGGTACAGTCTATGGTACAGAGGGGTACAGTCTATGGTACAGAGCGGTACAGTCTATGGTACAGAGGGTACAGTCTATGGTACAGAGGGGTACAGTCTATGGTACAGAGGGTACAGTCTATGGTACAGAGGGTACAGTCTATGGTACAGAGGGGTGCAGTCTATGGTACAGAGGGGTACAGTCTATGGTACAGAGGGTACAGTCTATGGTACAGAGGGTACAGTCTATGGTACAGAGCGGTACAGTCTATGGTACAGAGGGTACAGTCTATGGTACAGAGGGGTACAGTCTATGGTACAGAGGGTACAGTCTATGGTACAGAGGGTACAGTCTATGGTACAGAGGGGTGCAGTCTATGGTACAGAGGGGTACAGTCTATGGTACAGAGGGGTACAGTCTATGGTACAGAGGGTACAGTCTATGGTACAGAGGGGTACAGTCTATGGTACAGAGGGTACAGTCTATGGTACAGAGGGGTACAGTCTATGGTACAGAGGGTACAGTCTATGGTACAGAGAGGTACAGTCTATGGTACAGAGGGTACAGTCTATGGTACAGAGGTACAGTCTATGGTACAGAGGGGTACAGTCTATGGTACAGAGGTACAGTCTATGGTACAGAGGGTACAGTCTATGGTACAGAGGGTACAGTCTATGGTACAGAGGGTACAGTCTATGGTACAGAGCGGTACAGTCTATGGTACAGAGGGGTACAGTCTATGGTACAGAGGGTAAAGTCTATGGTACAGAGGTACAGTCTATGGTACAGAGGGTAAAGTCTATGGTACAGAGGTACATCTATGGTACAGAGGGTACAGTCTATGGTACAGAGGGTACAGTCTATGGTACAGAGGGTACAGTCTATGGTACAGAGGGGTACAGTCTATGGTACAGAGGGGTACAGTCTATGGTACAGAGGGTACAGTCTATGGTACAGAGGGTACAGTCTATGGTACAGAGGGGTACAGTCTATGGTACAGAGGGTACAGTCTATGGTACAGAGGGTACAGTCTATGGTACAGAGGGGTGCAGTCTATGGTACAGAGGGGTACAGTCTATGGTACAGAGGGTACAGTCTATGGTACAGAGGGTACAGTCTATGGTACAGAGCGGTACAGTCTATGGTACAGAGGGTACAGTCTATGGTACAGAGGGGTACAGTCTATGGTACAGAGGGTACAGTCTATGGTACAGAGGGTACAGTCTATGGTACAGAGGGGTGCAGTCTATGGTACAGAGGGGTACAGTCTATGGTACAGAGGGGTACAGTCTATGGTACAGAGGGTACAGTCTATGGTACAGAGGGGTACAGTCTATGGTACAGAGGGTACAGTCTATGGTACAGAGGGGTACAGTCTATGGTACAGAGGGTACAGTCTATGGTACAGAGAGGTACAGTCTATGGTACAGAGGGTACAGTCTATGGTACAGAGGTACAGTCTATGGTACAGAGGGGTACAGTCTATGGTACAGAGGTACAGTCTATGGTACAGAGGGTACAGTCTATGGTACAGAGGGTACAGTCTATGGTACAGAGGGTACAGTCTATGGTACAGAGCGGTACAGTCTATGGTACAGAGGGGTACAGTCTATGGTACAGAGGGTAAAGTCTATGGTACAGAGGTACAGTCT